TCTAATGTACTAATTCCATCTCGATTTTTTTTAGAATCATGTACATGGTAGATCTGATAACTTTTCGTTTATATTTTAATTAGAATAATTTAGATTATTAATTAGATTAATTAGATTAATTTGAGAACAACAGACTTTTCCGCCATTGTTCTATTACACAAAATAGAAAATTCAACCTTATCTTTGCTGTCTTCGCACATTTGCTATGTGCTAAATCCGATTTCGTGGGCGATGCACCAGCTGTTCAAAATTCAAAGGGTGATAGAAATCGACTCTCGAATAATTTTTAATATAACGTATAGTATTAACATTATATACAGATCACTGATTAAAGCATTCAGTGGTTCAGCATTGTATTGATCAAACAAGATCAATATTCTTTAACAATCGAAGAATCTAATCTTTTAATAGCAACCGATGTGTTCCTAGTCAATTAATGTGCAAAGTTGAGTACCTATATATCTACAGAGCTGCCATTGGAGAGTCTCTGGAAATTAAAAAGGCACGCGGACGTCATCTATTAATTAATCAAAATAATTTCCACAACCTCTATTCGTAAAACCTTTGTTAGAATAAACCGCCTAGTTCCTGTCTTCTTTCGATATATAAAAAGCTTATGGTAAGACATGGAGATACACTATTTTGCGTGACGTTCACGCTAGTGTTCTGCGCGGAAACCTGCATATTTCCTTTCAAAACTTCTTGAAGGCTAGGACTTTGCAAGTAAGAATTCGCTCGTTTCTATCAGATACCTTTGTACAAGAAGAGGGTGTGTCTAGAAGCTGTGTTGTAAGTGTTATACTTTTCAGTTTAAAAATGAACTCTGTTCTAATGAACCTTCCTCCAAGTGTCTCAGGTTTTTTATATCCTGACGATCTCCAAATAAATTTGCCAAGAGACAGATATAAGGTACGTGGATAGACAATTGCAGATCGTTCTTAACAGGATCCAAACATGGTCTACAAATCGTGGGTTTGCATTTTCAGAACACAAGACTGGTTCGATACATTTGTGTAGAAAGCGATGTGTTCATCCTGAGCCGGAACTTCATCTGAAAAATTCACAAATTCCAGTTGTACCCGAATTAAAATCTTTAGGGTTGGTATTCGACCGAAAGCTGATTTTCCTTCCACATGTTCACTGTTTGAGGTAAGTATTTTAAGATATTAAATATATTAAAGGTTTTTTACGAATACCACCTGGGGTGCAGAACGTGGCTCATTGCTCCGTATTTACAGTGTCCTTGTCCTCTCTAGGTTGGATTACGGCTCAGTTGTCTATGGATCAGCAGGGCCTACTGTGCTATTAAGACTAGATCCTGTTCACTATTACGCTTTGCGAAGTTGTTCTTGAGCTTTCAGAAGTTTTCCATTTCAAAGCCGATATGTAGATCGCTGTGAACCTTCACTCAAGTTAAGGCGTGAGCAAACAGTCTCTCTGCTACAATTTCAAGATATCGCTAGCTTATCATTCCTGTAAGATGGATCTGTTAGATGATATATGTGAGCGTCTGCTTAAAGCTAGACCTTCTGGTATGCCTTATATATCTCTCAGAGTTCACTCCCTACTTGAAAAATATCAGATGATACATTTGAACACCCAGACACGGAAGTATTTCGAAATACCACCTTGGGAGAATGTTCAACTTCGGTTTCTCAATATGTTCCAATATCTTGGGGGGGGAAATACTAACGAGTTGGTATACAACTAACAAGTTGGTATTCTTGAACATAGGTAAAACTACAGTAGTTACGTTCCTGTACTTACTGATGCATCGAAAACAGCTGGACATGTTGATATATCTTTCGTTATTGAAGACCACATGGTAGGCAGACGAATGCCTGGAGCCTGCTCAATCATCACATTGGAATTAATATTTATTGTGCATTGTCTTTCATATCCAAGTCATCATAGACCTCCTCCCTTAGTTCATTAGAAGCATTCTCTGATACCCAGAACCCTCTCATAGTATATGCCGTCATTTTCAATCTAAAATTAACGCAATGTTAGTATGGGATCTTGTACTGCCGGATACCTGGCCATGTAGGCGTAAGGAATAACGAGCTGGCAAACGCTACAGCAAAGCCGGCAATCGGATTGCTCTCCTGACGATAATCAGAAGGATTATGCAAAAGAAAATATTTGATAAATGGTAGAAAGACTGGGATGGTCAGGTAAATAATAAGCTAGGGAAATCTGAAAACTGCAATAGAATACTAGGATGCTATTAAGAACCGGAAGGAGGACTTCATACTTACTCGACTTAGAATTGATCACTCACAAGTTACCCACAATTACTTACTAAAATCAGAGAGTGAACCCATTTGCCCCCACTGTAATACAGTGATCTCATTTCATCATTCTTTAAATAAGAGTTCGTATTTTAAAAGACTTTAGTTGAAACATTTTAACGAATGCGACTTACCTCTTGACCGTTTAATTGGGAAAGAGGTGGGTCTAATTTGTTTGAATACCTGAAAGAGATGGGTATTTACTATTTAATTTCATTTTATTTTGATGTTGTATCTTGGTGATTTAATTATTTCTTTTTTTATATATTTCATGTTTTAAGATTTTATACCTGTTCAAACCTGATCTCATTATCTGCATTATAGGAAACTTCATTTCAGCGTCTGTCATTTCTTAGGTTCTCTGTATTTTAAGCATTTCTGTGGTCTTAATCTTTTGTCTGTAAGTGTCTCATTTGTGTATGAAAGCATTTGAAATGTATTCGGCGCAGATGGCCTTTAGATTTTGAGCCAGTAATTTCACTACCACTACCAAATGTATTCTCAATACAGCCCTGCTAATAACATGTTATCGCATAAATGGAAGAATTATATCATGCTTGTTACTTTGACAATTAGCTTAAATGGTATATTTTAAAAGTGCTATGTGCATAATGCAATTGAAGATATTTAATTACTCTTATTTAAAAAAAAAAAAAAAAGGTCTGGGGTAGCATGCATATGTGTAATGAATCATGCTGTAAACATCTTTAAAAACGAAACTATGCTTGTTGCTTCGCGAGTCGCTGTCTGACCATGTGTGATGTACATATATACATGAGTATATCATAAGTCGCGCTTTCGAGGCATAAAGTGTGCAAATTAAGTGTGGTCAATCGGCCCCCTAGAACAGGAGATATAGTTTTTTGTGTGCAGAGTGTACATGGTATCTTTGTTTAAATTAAAAGCTCTGGCATACCTCTTGACCGTTTAATCGGGAAAGAGGTTAATTTTAATCTATTTCAGTTCTTGAACGAAACTGGTTTTTATTATTTAATTTTAGTTTTGAATTACTTATTTTGTTTTTATTATATGTATTGTGATTTTGTCTGGTTTTATATTTTAATTATATGGATTTCATGTATATATTGTATTTACATAATAAAGTAAAGTAACCATGTGTTTGCCACATGATAACCTCTTAGGTTATGGTCCAGAAACTGCATCCGCCAATCAGCAAGATGACGTGACTAAACATTGTTGCAAGAATTTTTATTTAAAAATGTAAATAACTTTAGAAAAAATAAGAGCAATTGTAAGACTCCATTAGATCTTGATAATATAAAGGGGTCTTGTTATTTCCAATCCGGCTCATAACTCCATAACTATTGGGCTCTTAAATCGTTTCATGGTTATTTTATAAAATTATATTTTAATATACTTACAAAAAAGGAAGTGATTGTAAGATTACGTAACTTTGATATGACTTTAACTAGAAAACCGGGCGGTCATGCGGTATGACCGCTGTTCTAGATATTATAAATTGTTTGTGCAAAGTTGTCTGCTAATTTAAACTGAATTACCCAGGGCACGCGGCGAGTACACCCGTTTGCTTACTGCCCCACGAAGTTTCCCCCTTCTACTTGCTTAATTGCTTAAAGTAGAGTGCAATGAAGGAAACCACTGGCGGTACATTTCTTAAGAGCCACGCTAGCTCAATAAATAAAGGTGATTTAAATAATAAAATGTTAATTCACATGTTAAAGATCTCTTTCTACACAACATTTCTTGTGTAGATCTTTCCATCATTTTTAAGCTCGCCTTGCAGAGGACCATCAATTATTTTTAATTTTACGTCCGTTCTTTCACGAACTCTTAAACAGGACACACAAAGTTGACAGTGTCCAAATGCAGGCTCAGGTAAAAAAAATGCCAACACGCTTAAGCGTTTGACCCTGAGACTTATTGATGATCATAGCAAAGGCAAGTTTTACAGGAAATTGTCTCCGTCTCAGTTGAAACGGCAACCCTGTGCCGTGGCAATTTCACTCCATTGGCTAGTACAGTTATGCAAGCAACCAATAAACTATCGGCGACAAACAGACACTTAAGCCGCATATATATATGGGGTGAAGTAACATTATCTCCTCTGAAACGGCTGGCTCCTGGGCTTAGCGAAGCACACCGTTGGATTCCGCAGGTCCGGGGCACGCCATTTTGACCATTCGCGTCTTCTTGGGACTTTAATTAGCCGAGATATTAATTAAAAACTAACTTACCCCTACGTTTTCCGTACATTTTCCACTTTCCTTTTTGGGTTTTCCCTATTAGAGGAATTTGGCTACGTGCCAAATTCTTTTTTCTCGAATATCTACAGAACGGCGCCGAATTAAAATTCGAGACGCCTATGTTTGGATTCCAAAAAAATTCTCCGAATCCATCGATACCGTTCTCATCTTCGTACGGCTTTAATCGGCCGAGATATTAATTATTCCGCGCTCATTTTTCCGAGTGGTAACAATAAACTATCGGAGACACACACTTTAGCCGCTTATATATATATAAAGATTTGATATTACTTATTTTTTTTTCGCGTTTCTCGAGTAATACCATTATTGGTAATATTTGCAAAAGTTCAGTTTCTTTCCTACAAAGTTTGTGCGCGTGAATACGTACCATTGCTGCCTTAGTAACCTAAATTTTAAACCTTTAAATAAACATTATTTTTTTCTATTTCTACTTCATAATGTTAAGCTTGAAACCTATCACAAATATTCTGCTTTTTTATGCTAAGATTTTGTTTTAATGGTTCTATAAACAAAACCTGAATGATATAATTCATGGAGGGCAGCAATGAGATAGAAAATAAAAATTCAGAAGAAACAGCTACGGAAACCGAATTTTTTAGTGAACAAGTAGTCGTTGAAAGTACTCAGAGTGAGGAAGAAAATCCGGAAGAAGATTTCCTATCTGTATTACAGGAAACGTTAGAAAGATTGCGAAGTCTTTCCGGAAATGCTGCCGAGTTGAAATTACCAGTTCCAACGACAGACATCCAAAGTGTGTACAAGAAACTATGCAAAGCTTTACATGTCCCAGAAACTTCAACTTTTTCATCTGGAATTGACAGTGAGAGTATGGATTTTTCATATCACTGTCTCGGCCTTTTTGGCATAATACCTGTAACAAAAGCACTTACCCTTCACTTCAAAATAAAAAAACTTGATTTCGCGTATAATAAGTTAGGATCTGAAAGTCTACCAGCTATAGCATTGCTTTTGGACCAAAATCACAATATTACGCATTTAAATTTATCTTGTAATGGCATAGGAAAGAACTGTGCGAATGAATTACGCTCACTCATTGATAACTGTTCCTTAGAATTTCTAGATTTGTCCAATAATAATATTGGGGATGAAGGGTTAAGTGCTATTGCTCAAGAACTAATGAAAGTGGATAATATAAAAGAATTAAATTTGAGCAGGAACGACTTCAGCGCAGATAGAAGTGCAGCATTTGGTTCCTGCATTGCAAAATGTGTGACATTAGAAAAGCTGGATTTAAGTTGTAACCATTTCGAAGATGGGGCTATCGGCCTCTTTATTGTATTAAAAAATTCTAATTTAAAATTTCTAGATATATCAAGAAATGGCATTCCAGATGAAGCGATGCCAGTATTAGCTGCTGGTCTTCGCGGCAATAAGTCTCTACAGGAGCTCAGTCTCAGTAGTAATTACATAACGAATAAAGGAGCAGTTCTTCTTGCTCCAGGCATTAGAGGAAGTTCAACACTCGAGATATTGAGGTTATCGTACAATCCTTTCCAAGGAGCTGCAGCAAGTGCTGTTCTTAATTCAGCGGGTAACAATTTAAAGATTTTAGACTTGTCTGGCATAAAAGGAAACATCGATTTCCTAAAAACTTTGCGCAGCTATGAAAAATGCGGGAAAAATTTAGAAGTGCTCTTTGGAACTGAGATTCGTTTTTCCTTATTTCCCAAAGACTACTTCTTACCACGGCAGGATACACTTACAGAATCCAATGCTTTGATGTATATGCAGCAACTAGCAGATGAGAAAGGCGTTTCTCTCAGGATTACTTTAAAAATTATCCATGCAACTTTTATTGCTGAGCAACATGCCGCAGTTTCAGAGCTGTTAGAAAAATCAGAATTGGATCAAGATAAGGAGCCTCGTCAAATGACAATTGAAGCCTTTGCTAATGGACTTACGAATAGTCAGCTGGCTGTGCCGCGCTCTTTAGCTTTAGAATTGGCAAGATATCTTGCTGAAGACGGATATATTAATATGTGGAAAATAATATCTGAAACAAAATGGCGTCCTGACGCTCTCATTATCAAACTGAAACAGGAGAAAAAGGAAGCTCCACCGCAAAAGCCGAAAGGAAAGAAATAATTTTATGAACTATACACCCATCTGAAGAAAAAAAAATGTTTCATTATAGAAATCTAATTTTTATTTCCGTTGATCAAAAAGAGAAAATGTCTGTTCAGATGTAATTCATAAATAACTCTGCATAGTTTCGTGTATGATGTATTTATACTTTGCTGGTTTATTAAGTTTTATTTATAAAGCATATTCGAGAAGATAATACTTGGATCAATGTATGACTATGCAAACATTTTTTTATCATGCTAGTGAAAAATTCTGCTTTTAGTCATTTTTATTTTTTACAAAATTATTTTTTTTTTTTACAATTTCTCTCTGTTCCATCAAAAATTCCTTCGTATTCTCTATTGGTCACCAGTAACGGTTTGTATTCCTCCATAACTTAAACAGGATTAAGTGCACAAATAATTGAAAGTTTTCTCTTACTTACGTATTGGCGCAAACACTCTTTGCGCATTTTGATAATTGTTCACAGTTGAAAAAGGAATGAGGTGGTGGTAGTGGTAGTGGAGTTCTGGCGCAAAACTCTAAAGGCCATATGCGCCCAAACACAAGATTTGTTCTTCAACATACAAACTACAGTAAAAATCTTAAAAAAGAAAAACGTCTATAATAATAGCACACTTATAAAATCGAGGCAAGTTAAAAGATATTGAAAATGGTGGGATGAAAATGCTGATTATGATTCAGATAATGAGATATGCAGTATAGATATGAAATCCTAAAGCAACTGATTCATTGAAATTGTAACATAAAATCTCAAGGCAAAATCAGCCCTCAGGGGCTCACTTTTGCAAGTACGGATTTGGCAATCCCGAGGTACCCTAGCCCTTCAGGGGACCATCTTGTAATTCTTATTGCTAAACCAGGGAAAGATCCAAGGAATCCCTCCAACTATCGGTCAGTTGCCCTGACGAGTTGCGTATGCAAGCTGTTTGAAAAAATGCTAAATAGCCATTTAGTCTACTTCTTGGGAAAGAATAATATTATATCGCCTTATCAAAGCGGTTTTCGAAAGGGAAGAACAACCGTAAATAACATGCTCCTCTTAGAGACGTCCATTCAAAAAGCTTTTGTAAGAAAAAGTCACCTTGTCTCGGCATTTTTCGACACTGAGAAAGGAATTATAAGGCATGGAGATACGGCATACTTCGGGATCTTCACAAGAGTGGCTTGCGCGGCAACCTACCAATTTTCATTCTGAATATCTTGAACACTAGAACTTTTCAAGTAACTATTGGCTCTTTTTTGTCGGATGTTTTTGAACAGGAAGAGTATGTGCCTCAAGGTTGTGTGCTTAGTGAAACCCTGTTCAGCTTAAAAATAAACTATGTATTAAAAGAATTTCCTCCCACCATCTTCGGATCTCTATATGTTGATAATCTACAGATTAGCTGTCGAGGGGCAGACATGCGATACGTAGAGAGGCAATTAACAGATAGCTCTGAATAAGATCCAAGAATGGTCAGACAAACAGCAATTTACATTTTCCAGACAAAAAAAATTTGGGCGTACACTTTTGTAGGAAGCGAGGTCTCCATCCTGGGCCTGAGTTATATATGAATGGTATAATTATTCCAGTTGCAACTGAAGTAAAATTTTTAGGAGTGACGTTCGACCAAAAATTGACTTTCCTTTCTCATATTTTAAACCTGAGAAAAAGTGCTTAGAAACACTAAATATTTTAAACGTCTTTGCGAATACCTCCTGGGGTACAGAGCGTTGCGTTATGCTTCGCATTTACAGAGCGCTTGTACGCTCTAGACTGGACTATGGCTCAGTTGTTTACGGATCCGCTTGATCATCAGTATTGAAAAAACTTGATCCTGTTCACCATCAAGCTCTGCTCATTTGTTCTGGAACTTTCAGAACATCTCCTGTCCAGAGCCTGTACACCATTACTGTAACGAACCATTACTTCATCTGATGCATGAGCAGTTGTCCCTTTTGCAATATTTTACTATTCTATCGCAACCTGAACATCCTAATCAGCTGTGCTTATTTGATAATGTGTGTAACTCTTTATTTGAAACACGTCCGTCCTGTGTGCTTATCTTTCCTTTAAGAGTTCGCCCTATCATTGAGGAACTCTCCCTCTCTGATATGTGTCCCCAAGCAGTGCAGAATTTAGAAATCCCACCTTAGGAAAATAAACGGATCCAGCTTCTTAGTGTTTTCACTCATCACGTGAAGGCAAGCACTAACGACATCGTTTACAAACAACTCTTTGCTGAGCACAGGAATAAATATAGCAGTTATCTTCCAGTATATACAGATGGATCCAAGTCAAAAGATCATGTCGGAATGGCATTTGTAATTGAATATCACATTGAGGGCAGACGCTTGGACCATGCTTTCTCTGTCTTAACATCGGAACTAACTGCAATATATTATAGTCTTTTGTACATCTCAAGGCTCTGCCACAAAAAGTTTATAGTTTATACAGACTCCTATAGTACACTTAAATCATTAGAAGCTTTTTGCAACACTCAAAATCTAGTAATAGTGGATGTTCTCAAGATTCATATAAACTTAACGAGTCGTGCATATGAAATCCTGTACTGCTGGGTTCCCGTGTATGTGGGAATAAAAGGGAATAAGCTGGAAGATATCACAGCAAAATGTCCTGTTGAACTGTGCAGTCGCGTCACCTCTTTTGGAGACATCTGTTGTGTTGTCAAAGAGAAGATCCGAAAAAAAATGGCAGCAACTTTGGGATGTGCAGCTTCAAAACAAGTTGAGAAATGTAAAGGCTGGAATTGAGCATTGGAACTTTACTAGAAATCGTAAGGAGGAATTTATTTTGACTCGCCTCAGAATTGGTCACACTAGAGTGACACATAACTACCTGTTAAAAGCTGACAATGAGCCTGTTTGTTTAAAATGTAATATTTGTCTATCAGTCCTTCATATTTTAATTGAGTGTCCGTGTTTTAATAGTCTTCGTCAGAAATATTTTAATAGCTGTGACTTACCTCTTGACCGTTTAATTAGAAGAGAGGTCAATTGTAATTTACTTAAAAGAGCCTGGCTTTTATTACTTAATGTAATCTGTTCTGCAGATTGTGTATTGTATTTTAATGTGTTCTCTTACCTGATTTTATATAACTTCATCCTCTGGATTTGGTACATTAGTCTTTTTTTATTTATTAATAAATATTTGATTTCATGAAATTAGATCATCTCACCTTGTGTTTTTGCGCCAAAAATCTCACTCACTCACTCTTGTTTCGGGGAATCAATCACTAAATCAGGATCGATCTCTGTTCTATCATCAGGAATATAATCCGGATCAGCATCACTGTCATCAATATCTTCATCAAATTTACCATTATCACCACTTTCACTTTCATCAGATTCCAAAAGCATTGCTTGAATTTTTTCATTCGTTAAATATTTGCGGCGTTTCGCCACTTTTTCAACACAGTATGAAACAAGAATCGAAACACATTTATATATGCCGCTCAGAAATTTAAAAATAACAGACGCTATCACTAGGACTACGTTAAAATTACGTATTTAAAAAGTCGTATCTTACTAGTGACACGAAAAATTTGAAAGGATCCTAAGTTTTACTAACGTTTACTTTAGGCTCACTACGTTACTGTTTTTATCTTATTGCAAAAATTCGGCTCTTACACATCCAATAGGTATGGTGAACCTTTCATTTTAAAATAAATTTTACTAAAAGTTTAAAATGTTTAAATTTAAAGTATATGTATAAAAAATTATGTATAATTTTAAGCGAACTAAAATTTACTTAATTAATTTTCTAGATAACCTACAAATGCTTCCCAATTGAATGAAACTAGGCTATCGTAATAGAATTTCAGAAAATATGTCAGGAACTCTACGACTGTAGGTTCTGAAGCATTATTTGCTTCAAATGTAGTACACAGCGCTTTTATAATAAGTATTAAACTGATTAGTGCGTAAAACATAATATGATTATTATTATTTGTGTGTTCTGTCATATTCTAACGTTTGTCTTTAATAAATAAGTAATATTACTAGAAAAAGGCTTTAATGCAAATCTTTCAGTATTTACATTGATCTCAATATCTGATGATTCTCGAAGATGTTCATTTACTAATCTTCTAAGCATCTCATTGACTCTACGATTAAGACTGTCGTCATTATCAGTTTCATAAACTGAGAGATATTCAAGGAAATTGTGTAATGTTTTAAATTTATCAACATCAACAAATTTTGGTATTGTAGTGTACCTAAATCTATTACATCGTTTCCTTCTACAGGAGGGCGATGAGTTTCTTGAGAAATTACCATGCATATAAGTTGTTTTAGAAATATTATAAAGTTTCCGAACATGTATATTTTAAAGAACGATGTGTAAGAGCCGAAAATTTTATGACCTTGAATAATTATAAAGCATGCGATGATGACAGAAAGTACACAGTATTGTAAGTATACTGGAATGAGTAGGAGGACTGTCAGCTTAATTAACTGTCTTTAGAGATGTTTGGCTTGCGGCATTAAAGTCGCCTGCAACAATTTTGCTGCGAAGCCGGAAGTGCAACTACATATTCTAGTTCAGTCAGCGCTAATGTGATATCATGTGAAGGTGGAATATAGATACTTGTGAAAGCAATTCTTCCTTTAGGGCTCTCAATATGAATGGGGACTGAGTATTTACCTTTTGTACATAAGTAATGGTTTGAGCGGACCGTTGTACTTACTGCTGCTAGATTACTGGTTGACTGAAATACTTTGAAAGAACTCATGCATACAACTTTTCCATTTGCGGTATAATATTTTTGCAGTAGGGCCACTGGAAAGTTATTTTCCATTATAATTTAAGCTGCATTGCTTGTTGCCGTCTGGCATTTCTGGAGGTTTCCCTGTAAGACGGAGAAACTCTTAACTATACTTAATCCTACTGCTCAGTCCAGTGTTCAAATAATAAGGCTTCGAGTGTCCTTAAATTTCGAACATGCATTAATTCGGCAGGTGAAAACCTGGTGCTTTCATTGGTTATAGATCTTAAGGTAAATAACGCTGAGGGAAGGTGTTTTTCCCAAGCAGTCCCAGCCTCCAGCCATAGAGCTCGTAAGAGCCGATTAATTGTTCTATGGAAACGTTCGATCGGATTTGACTGGGTGGCCAACCGAACTGTGACTAACCTTAATCCCAAACCTGTCAAAAATTCTGTAGGAAGTGCACTTACGAAAGACGTTCCGAGAT